GGATAGTTGTGCTCGACCCACAAGCTGACCCATTTGGATTTACGACCGACAGAGTCAAATTCCATGAACAAACCAGTCATGCTATCCATGGGGCATTCTTCAGATGTGTGGAATCTATCTTCTAAAGTTGGCCTTGCACCCCTGATGGATGGACCAGAGAGTATCCTACTTTGATGATAGAAAAAATTGCAAGGTTTGTTTAAACGTTTCTGTTCTTCAATAGATATACTTATTATCATCCTTCTATTCATGTCACCAGAAGTTAATATATTTTGCTACCGTCTTCAGTGAACAGTCCGGCATATATTCATTATTCATGGCAAGCCACTATGACGGCGAGACACTTCTGAGCCCGACGACGAAGGTTTGCATACTATCAACTCTTCAATCGTTTTAAGAAACACATTTAATCATATCAGTATGGAATTATCTTCCATAGAAACAGATCTTCTTTTCACCGAGCCATCCTCCAAGACGCCATGAAGCTTGAGGATAACAAATCGGATGCAGCGTACAAGGCAATGCAGCACATCAGAGCAACTGTAAACAATTTGTAGTTTGATAGACATTTTCAGTCAGCAGATGCGAAATGTACCCCCCCCCCCTAGTCGGCTCATTAGTATTTCAAGCCAGTTAACAGCAGTTTGGTTTGCACAAACCCCTTTGGTAATGTACCGTTTGCAATTTTTAACTGGACCAATGTTATCTATGACTGCCTGTCATCGCTTGCATTTGCCTGTAGCCCATACAAGAGGTTAAAAAACAGAATGTTCACACGAGAAGAACATCATTCATAGAAATCCAAGTTTGTGCACAAACACATGGTTACATTTCGACACATCATAGTACTTAAAACAACTTCCAGCAAACTACGAACTATAAATTCAGACAGACAACCATTCATAAAAGTTACATAAACTTAACTTAGGATAATTATTGCTAACGATTTTAAACGTAGACATCTTCATCAGTCCCCAGATGGATGAAGATGCTGGCTCCGATCACAATGCAAGCCACCAACATCTAAACCAGCAGACAATGTTGTTGCTGCAACCTTGCTATTGACAGGCGCAAGCTTTCATCTTAATGATCTTCGGCAGCAAGCACATCCGACGGATCTTCAGCAGCAAGCACATCCGACGGTGACCCCAAGTCGATGCAGTTGCTTCAATATGCTCGAGGTTTGGCTGCGCCAGCTGTGCACGTTGCGATCAAGGATTCTGTTGTGTGCTTCTAGAGCCCACACAACATTCCTCGTATCAAGCAGCAACTGGGTGAGAAACGGGCTCGTTTCTTTGTCAACCCACTAGAAGAAACCACAGTTGAAAGACTGTGCGTGCAGCATAATTTTAGCAACCAAAATGTATGAAAGATGCTTGCATATGAAAGATACAAGTTTTATCTGAGGAACTCACCCTCCCCTTCGGACAGGCAAGGTATCTTCTCTCTGGATTGTTGTCGCTCCATGAGATCCGCATCGGCGCTTTCTCCCTCGGAGCACACAAACAATACTTGGCTGGCTCGTAAGCCGAAGGAGCTTGCCGGTACGGTACCGGAGTATGGCTTGGCCGGCGAGAAGATCCAGCGGACGACCTTGTGGTGGAGGAGTTGGACACGCTCCCCATCTAGGGTTTGGAAGTTCTCGGACAAGAGGGGATTTTTTTGGGACAGTGGATGCAAGACATGCGACAAGCATTAGATGCTGGAACCGTATTTATGGCCACGCTGTAACGGCTGTCGCTCAGCCCGCCTCGATCACCGTTCCATGCCACACCCGAAGCGCGAGTACAGTGTGCACCACCACAGCCCAGCAACCCTCGTACTACCTCTGTCCTGGTTTATAAGTCCCCTTTGTATTTTGTGTCAAACGTTGACTAAACATTTAACTAACAAAATATTAACGCATGTCATCAAAAATTATATCATGGGATTCGTATTTCAACATAGTTTTCAATTATATTTTTTTCTGACATGCATTAACATTTTGTTAATTAAATTTAAGATCAAAATTTGGCACGGAATACAAAGGAAACTAATAAACCGGGAGGGAGGTAATACATACTTTTCCCCCGCGGCTGAAATGAAAAGTTGCATGCTCGTCGTGCAGACCGAACTAATCAGCTGGTAAACGCCCAAGTCTTCGCACGCGCTTCATGCATGCATGTGGCAAGCTGGCCCTACCGCCATAGCTGGAAAGGGACCTATTCTAAGTTCGGCCGCCAGCTAAGAAATCTGGAACAGGTGACAGAGGTTTCGGGGGCATAGCACGTGAGATACTGGACCACAAGCGCGTAGTATATGTTCCACGTATTGCTCCATATTAAACGCTGTCGCTCATTTGGCCCCATCACGATGCATCCAGCGCATGGTGTGGATAAAGTGCGCCAATGCCGCCGTGCACTAATGCCGCCATGCACTGAAAATGCGCTCCGCAAGCAAATCCAATACTAAATCTTAAACTCGAACACTCCAATTTGTCGACATAAAAAACATAAAAAATATTTTTCCTCTTTGGAATGGAAATAAATTTTGCTTTTGGTGAGTGTTTATTTTCACTTTGAGAATAGCAGTAAGCTTCTTCCTTTTATACAAAAGAGTGAGAGCAAGTGTTATTTTTTCTAACTGAGCAAAGTGTTCTTTAGGGAATAGAGCATCTACACAGGCGGGCGCCTCAACCCGGCCTCACACGCCCGGATGGGCGGCCCAGCAAAAAAAATGACCCAGACGGGCTCTGATACCGGTCCTAAATGTCCGGGCTGACCGACATCCGTCATATCTAGCCTAAATCTAGGCCGGTTATGAGAAGGCCCGGGTGCGTCCAGGCCATGTCCGCCCCGTCGAACCAGACAACCGACCCCACCACAAATTGCACCAAATCCTCCAAGTCCACCAAACCCATCGCCATCCTCCCGAGTCCGTCCACCACATTTCCCTCATCCAAGCCGTCACCATCGTCCACCCTTACTCCCCCATTCTTGATGCCGGCCCCCATACGCCGCCCTAAATGTCGACCAGCCCGTCCCACACCGCCTCCACAGAGGCATCTTCAGCGTCGTCTGTGGGTGCCCCGTCCTTGGCTCCAGTGTGCAAGCCGAAGCACCTTCATAGGGAGCGGATGTGGACCTCGAGCAGCAGCGTCCCGCCCCCACTCCCCGCGCTCGGCCCCTAAACACCGTCCTTCCAGCCACTGACAAGGATCGCGCTGTATGACCCAGTCGGGTCAGAGGACGGTCCAATGGGTGGCTGGGAGGGCATTCCAGAGTGTTTTCCAGCGACAGAGAGGGCGAGGATGGTCAAGGAGCATGCAAAGAAGTGGCTTGTGTGGATAAAGAAGGATATCAACGAACGTAGGGAGTATGAGGCAACGAGAGAAACAATGGCAACAACGGAAGTGGAGGAAAGGATGCATGAAAAGCAGGCGGCAAGGTGCAGGAAGAGCAGGCGGATGAGGAGGCAAGGATGGCCGCTGAGCAGGTGGCATGGATGACGTCCAACAAGTGATCCATTATACTCGGACTTGGATTTTATTTTGACATGTCCAGATTGTTGAACTATGATTTACTTTGCTTTGTCGCATTGGTGAGCCGTTGAATTTGTGCTCTATATTCCACGTGCATGGACATGTCAATTGAGGGACCATCCGGTGGTGTCTGCGAACACGATCGGACATGCCTGTGGCTATACCAGAGCCGAATTTGCCAAGTCAGGCCGTAGATGTTCTTACTCGCCCAAGACTGAAATGCAAAGACGAAACAGCCCTCTAAGGGCATGTACAATGGTTGATAAGATAGTTTTATCTTAAGTCTTGCATGTAAATTAGAGATGACAAAAAAACATGTCTACAATGGGTCATTTTTTAGCCTTATCTTCAATAATTAGTTGTTCCTAAAAATATGGTGAGCCAAATTGTGCTAAGAGATCATCTCTTGTCTTCTTTTAAATAAGAGAAGACAAGCCTTATCTTACAATTTCTCTCTGCTCCACCTCAGCATTTATCCTACGTGGCACTTTTGAGATAGAACCATTGTACATGCCCTAACTTCTGCTAAAAAAAGAAAAAAAATATAACTTCTGTTAATTAAAAAAGAGAAGAAAAAATACAGGCCCTATTCCAAGAGACCCATGTCCATGAAAACGTATGGACAAACGGAAGAGAGCCCAGCCCACCGAACCGCCGAAGCTGCCCTGCTCCTGCTCCTGCTCCGTCTGCTCCTTCATCCGGACGGCGGCTGCAACGACGACCGGCGGGCATCTCTCTGGATCGGCGCGGCATCCATTGAGGTGAGCTTCCCCTCTCTCCATTCCGTTGAAATCCCAAGTCATCCCCCATTTAGTTTCTTGATGCGCGTTGCCTTCCTCTCCTTGTCCTACGAACCCTAGCTACCTCTGTAGATGGATCTGGGCTAACAAATGGATTCGGCATCAGACGCGATGAATCCCGGGTTCCGTTGGGTGAGTATCTCAATCTCAAACTTCATTCCGCACGGCTCCTTCGGCTCCTCGTGAGATCTAAGTAAACAAATAGCATGGTTAAGTCTAAAATGGGGAATTTTTACGAATCTGCAGATGGAAGATGGGACATTTGGTTGGCTTTGAGTGCAAGATGATGAAATTTGGCAGAGGCGCAAGCACCACTGGGCATTTATTCGTTTAGCCTGTTCCCAGTTCCAGCTCAGATGAGTGGCCTCTGTTCCTCACCCGTGCCACCGCTGGACGACGAGGACCTCCTCCAGGAGATCCTCCTCCATCTCCCTCCGCTCCCATCCTCGCGTCCCCGTGCATCCGCCGTATGCAAGCGCTGGCACAAAATCCTCTCTGACCCACGGTTCCTCTACCGCTTCCGCAAGCACCACCGGAAACCGCCACTCATTGGCTTCTTTGACAAAGAATTTGGTTGAGCCCCTGTCTTCACTCTGATCTTGGACCCACCAAACCATATCCCGGTCAGCTTCGTCCTGCCAGAGAAGCTCCTTGGTTATACTCCATGGGCCACCCTGCACATGCACATTTCCTTCTCCTTCTTTGGCTGCCGCCATGGCATTGCACTCTTCCTTGACCGCCCGCGCTACGAGGCTGTGTTGTGGGACCCCTACACCAACTTCCAGCACCATGTACCTTTTCCACCGGGTTTCGACAATCAGCAAGCTAACTTCATCATGAGCGCTGCAGTGTTGTGCTCTGCCGGTGACGAGCAACACGTGCATGGTTATTGCCACCTGAGTCCATTCAAACTGGTATTGGCATGCCATGACGCTGAATGCACAAAGGCGTTTGCTTGCATCTATGAATCCAAGTCTGTCATATGGGAAGATAGTATCTCAATAGCGACTACGGATGTGATTTCTAAAAAAAGGCCTAGCATATTGGTTAGAAATGCACTTTGTTGGTTGCTTCATGGAGGCGGTATTCTTGACTTTGACTTCGAAAGGCTGACTCTTGATGTGATTGAGAAGCCTGCAAGTGTCGATGTTACTGATACTTTTAGCGTTGACTGGTCCTTTCAGATCATAAGAGAAGAGGATAATGGTCTCGGCCTTGCTGTTTTGCCAAACCCAGAACAACTAAGCATTCAGTTATGGGCGATGAAATCTGACTCTGATGGTGTTGTCTCATGGGTGCTACAGAAAACTGTTGAACTGGATGAGCTCTTTACACGACCCTTGCATTCAGACACGGCAAAACTTGTCCTGATGCCAGGGTATGATGAAGACACAAATGTGATCTTTTTATCTTCGGTTTCTTATGAATTCATGCTCCAACTTGAGTCGATGAAGTTCAAATATATTGGTAGAAGAGAGTACAAGAGTTCTAGAATCTATTATCCTTATGCAAATTTTTATACTGCAGGTAATATCTCGTCTCTTGCATGACATACGTAACAGATAAAATTACTTTTACTGAGATTCACTCCAATTACTATGATACATGTTTACCATAATATCGTTGGTTTGCTAAAGGGTTGACTAGATATTTAAGTATAAATTGATTTGTTTTCTTGTCTGGATGGTGAAGTAATACGAGCGTAGTTTTGTTACTTACTTGATTACTTAAAGTGTAACAAAAATTGATATGTAACTATTGCTGCCTAGTAGTCACTATGTGCGTAATAGGCTCTATGAGAATGTGCTTGATCTAATATGTGAAATAGTCATTTGGTGTTGGATAATGATTCTCCAAGAACATATATGTTTTTCCTCGGCATCAGGAACATAAGCGGCCTGGAGTTTCTCCAAGAACATATATGTTGGATAATGATTCGAAGAAAGAACTCAAGAATGCTCAAATGCTTGGCCCTCCTATCAAGAACCCAAATACCAGCTCTGTGGTTTTTTTACTTGCAGGGATTGAACGAGATCTAACAGGACTCTGCATCCTTAACAGACATCTATCTACAGGCCGCACAGCAGCACTAGCGATTAACTTTTTGCTAGTATATCAATTTTAGAATGTTTGATTTCGCAAAAAAAAGAGACTGTTTGCAGACTACCATAGCCATCCATGTAGAGTAGGCAGAGCTTGCCCTGTACC